TTTCATTTTGGAATTCCATTCATTCATTGTTGCACCCTTCTCCCCCCCACCCCATTTGCTCCTCTCCCTAAAAAACAAAAGAAAAACTCCCTCATTGGTACACAATCCACCCCGCACTTCCCCCAATCCCACCCCCAACCCCAAATATAATCCACATTTAATGGTTTTAAGCAATAATTTTCCTGTGTATAAAATGGTGATGACTATACTTTTTCGGCCTCCTTTATAACAATACTGAGGATGTAAATTGAGATAACTTCTTCATTTAATCACATCATTTGACTCACTAGTGTGTGACAGGAAATTTGGAAAGCAGCTATCTTGCCAACTGGTTGGAAGAGATCCATATTTGTTCTCATTCTCAAGAAAGGTGATCCAATGAAACGTGGACGTTATTGAATAATGTCATTAATATTGCATGCAAGCAAAACATTGTTGAAGATCAGCCCAAACCAGCTAGAAGAGTACATTGATAGAGAATGGCTGGAAGTTCAGGCTGTTTAGAGGCTGTGGCACCATGGATAAAATTACTGACATTAGATGGATCCTGCCTGAAAGCAGAGAATACCAGAAGAATATCTGTTTATGCTTTATTGACTATGAAGAGGCATTTGACTGTGTGGATCATAACAAACTATAGCTAATATTGAGAAGACTGGGAATCCCAGAATACCAATGTGTTCATATGAAACCTATACCTAGATGAAAAGGCAATTGTAAGGATAGAGCAAGAGAACACTATGGAGTTTAAAATCAGGGAAGGTGTGTGTCGGGGTTGTATGCATTCTCTGTACCTGTTCATTCTGTACGCTGAGCAAATTATTTGAGAAGCTGGACTCTAGGAAGAAAATGTGGCATCAGAATCAGAGGAAGATTCATCATTAACCTGTATTGCACAGATGAAACAACCTTGCTTTCTTAAAGTGAGGAAGACTTGAAGCACTTGCTATAGAAGATCAAAGACTGGAACCTTCAATATGAATTACATCTCAGCATCAAGAAAACTAAAGTTCTCACCACTATACTGATAGGCAAGATAATGACAAAGAGAAGATTGAAACTGTCAATGACTTCATCTTACTTAGATCCACAGTCAACACAGTTGGTACCAGCAGTCAGCAGAATAGGAGACATACTGCATTGTGAAAATCTGCAGTCAGGGAACTCTCCAAATTACTGAGGAGAAATGACAGTAATTTGAGGACTAAGATGCATCTGATTCAGACTAAAGCCTTTTGATTTATTTACTGTGCTGTTAAGAACTAGGCAATGAAAACGGATGACAGAAGAAGACTAATGCCTTTGAGTTTGATCTTAAAGAATACTGACTACCTCATGGACTACCCAAAGCACAAATAGATATGTCTTGGAGAAAGTGCAGCTGGTATGCTTTTTGAAGGCTAAAATGACAAAGTTTTGTCTCTCATATTTTGGGCATGTTTTTAGGAGAGGCTATTCCTTAAAAAGTATAAAAAAGAGGAAGGGTTGCATGGGAACAGCCATATCTTACCTTTTCCAACTTCACAAAGGGGAACTTTACCCATCAAAAATAACAAAAGCAATTCCCTTGAGGTTGGACATGACTCCCATGCTTCCATAACTGTTTCTACTCATCTCAGCACCAATCTTACTGTTTTACTGGATCCAAAATATGATGTGACAGCTCACAGATCACAGAGAACCATATTGGGGAAGTCAAAAGATTATAATGCAATTTAGTAGCATAATAAAGTTGGAACAGCTCCCAAAAAGTACTTGTAGTTGCTTCAGCCTTGAGACTTGCTGCTTTAGGTAGTTGTTGCAAAACTCTCAGTCTTGCCAGTTATGGTTCTCCCCTCACCCTAAGATGTTCAACAAACTTGGGCAAAGGCTCCTAGTTCTGGTTGCACAGAGGGTAGCATTCCCAAGGTCAGCTCTGTCTCATGTCAGGTTTCTGGTTCTCTGCTTTGGCCACTGCTGCTCTGCTGCTGTCAATATAGCTGGTACAAGACCCTCTAGGTCAAAAGGGCTCACACTACATGCTTGCTTCTTCTTTGCTGGTGGTGAGACTCGAATCTCCTGGAGTTTGCTCAGTTTAGTGATGAGACTAACCAGTTGCCTGTGTATAGGCTAACACACCCTTAACCACATGTTCCTGTCTATCCACATGGTAATGTCAAATTTAATGGCTTGGAAGGCACTTTGAACAATAAACCCTTAATGCCACAGAAAGGGACATCATTCTTGGAAGAGTGCCAGTACAAGAAAGGAAAACTCTCAGAGATGAATTGATACATTAACTGCAGCAGTGAGCTCAAGTGTGTCAGAGATGATGAGGATGAGACAGGAAAAGACAGGGTTCAGAACTGTTGTTCATAGGATTGCTATGAGTCGTACTTGACACCATGACACCTTACAACAACAATAACAAATATGCCAGATTTATTATAGATATTAAGAAAAGAGCAGTGACCATCATTGACAGGATGAAAATTTTGAGTTTTGTGGAGATTCAGGGGGCATGATTATCAATATAGATATAAATAGGTAAGCAGGATAATTATAAACATGAAGACTGAACTATGTGATAGAATTGGTAGTGGTTAGTTGGAAAAAATAGGGATACCTTTAGATTGCAGAGTTCTGCGTCCAAAATATTCTAGACAAAGGAGATAAAATATATGAAGGCTCTTCATCAGGAACACCTGGTTGGTACGTTCTAGTTTTAGTCATGATGGGCAAAGCCTGCTGACATAGCTGGAGAATGAAATGATTTAGGATTGGAGACTCAGGAGTCAGATCACACAGATTCTTGGAAATCAGTAAGAAATATTCAGTTTACTCTGAGTGTTAAAGGGAGTTATTATATGGGGGTTTTTTTCTTTATTATTTATTACTTATATTGTTATTTATTTTTGTTTTTACTATATCTCATTTGAACTAGAGTTGCCATAATTTCTAAATGAATTATGTTTCAAAATATAATCTAGACTAGTGAATCATGTATTAATTGTTGGAATGATTATCACTCACTTTTATACAATAGTTCATATACTTTGTTTCATTCAAGTACATTTTGTTTATACAAAAATTCCTGTACATTGTACAATCTGTAACTTCTGTTGATGGCATCAAAATGATAAGGAACTGACAACTGCTTGTGGAGATACAATAAAAATTGCCTCACAACTACCAACAAGAATCTCACATAATGTCAAGCAAGCAGCAGCCAGATTAAAACATTCTGATAAAACAAGCCTTCTCCTAAAAAAGCAGATCAGATTGGAGACTCAATGAACACACCAGGAATAGGAAGGCAGAAGAAATATATCCATGTGAAGGTTTTAGAAATGGTACTGAAAAAGGTTCATATTATGGGTGAAAGAGTTCGAACTTTAAGAACAAAAAGTGGAAAAAATCATTAACAGAGAAGATACAAACAAAACAGTGCTAGAAACAACAGAAAAGCATCAAAATATTACCAGGTTTTAAATGATGGAATGATGTGGTCTGGTTTTTATTGCTGGATGATGCATTGAAGGCCTAGAAAGAAACCTATATGAGAGAGCAGTTTGGAGACTAATCTGTTGAAGGTTCAATAGAGATAATTAGATGCATGCTGAATATATTTTAAAATTAGTGTACACTAGTGGGTATAGGATGTAGCAAGGGAAGGAGAGAGAAGAACCAAAGATGGCATCTGTGTTTTAGGTAGGAGCCACTGGATGGCTTGTTAGGTGCTGCTGAGTCAGTTTGAAACAATGATCCTGTGCATGACAAAACAAAACCCTGCTTGATCCTGCATCATCCTCATAATCACTGCTGTGTTTAAATCTATAGTTGTGCCAATCCACCTCATAAAGTATTCAAAACAAGTTGATAGAGATAGATAGATAGAGAGATAGATAAAAATTGGCCTGAAGAGTTTGAGTTTGCAACTACTGAAGATGGATAACATTTAAAAATGCTGAAAGGAGAACTACTTCTTAGAAAGTGGTCATTAAGAATTTT